ATACTTCACAACAATTACAATGAAAAATTATTCCCTAATTTCTATTCTTTCTATCAACTATAAATTATGCACCTACGACAATTTTGTGAATTACATATATAAACGGTATTTAAGTATTTTACCGTATATTTTGAACTGCTCGACTTCTGAAAATTTGGGCTCTAGATTGACTCGATAACATACTCGAGCTCTAGAAGTTCAGAAAGTGTGTATATGCTCTCTAATATACACGACCGTTTAACTTCCACACAGAATTGCAGAGCACAACTAGCAATTTTTTCAAGGGAGTGTATTTTGTACAGTTATGTGAGAGTTTATGATTTAGGCTTGAAGAAATTTGCATCTAAGCCATCAGCTATCAAGGACCACAAAGCTCCTACACTACTCAATACACAAAACATTATTCCTACAAAACCAAGCCCAACATTGAGTAACCACATCCTACTAAACCGGGCCGGTTTTCTGATGGCGACCCACATTAGGCACGGATAGGACAAGGTCAGGGGAAGTGCCATCGACCCAACAAACAAGCCCAAACTCGGCAAGAAAGGCACAGCCACAGACATAATGTATGTAAATCCTCCAAACAAGGCCTTAATGGATGCACGGACCCACCTAGAGCACGGTTTGTTCTTCTTGGTTACATATATGCGCTCAAAGTTGTCGAGCGCGGGCATTGAGTACATTTGGAACGCGCAAATGTAGTGGATTATAGCCGTTAAGCATATTGCACCCGTAAGATACTTGGATGTAGTCTTGTGATGCAAACTCACGAAGGAAGTAAGGATACCTAACTTCGATGATATCTGAACCAAAAAAGAAAAAGAAAAAAGATCGGAAGTAAATATTTGACACATAGAAACTTTATAAGTAGGGAAATTCGGTTCGATTCGAAGATTGTACCTTATTTCCATAAGCCCAATATCCAACTATTGCAATTGGATACATACACATAGCAATAATTATGTATGAAAATGTTACTCCTCTCCACATGGACTTGCTTGATGGTTTTTTCATGTTCGTGGGTATTGTACCCTGCAGTAAATTCAATAAGCAAAAGGGTTATTTCCTTAGTTTACCTCATTAGCACATGCACTTCATCTAAAATTAATGTACAACCAAGTTTTTGAACATATAAGTTACTCTTAAGATAGCTCTTCAAGGTGCAAGATTGAGTATCAAATCAAATCACAATGTACTTATCAATGTATCAAATATAAATACACACAACTGCAAAAATTACCTGTATTTCTAACACAAGGTTATGCCCTCTAAAAGCAAGAGCTACTATCCCCAACCCATTTAACACGTTTAGAAATCCCGAGCCATCGATAATAATATCATTACCATCCATTTGCTCGTGTACTCTTCCTTTATCGAGAGACATAATCCAAAGAAGAAAACAATAGAAAACAGCTGTGAATGATCCAATAGCCGAGACAACGGTTAGAGAGTTGAGGTTAGGGAAAAACTGAGCCGTGAGTGCGGATAAGAAGATGAAAATCAAGAACCATTCGGCTCCAGTTAGCGTTTTGGAGTTGAAATGATCGTTATCGTAACAAATGGATTGGAAGAATAGTTCTATAATTGTGCCTCCATTGATTATGTACACTATACATGTCCCAGTTGATAGGTACATTGTTGGGAAAAGCCCTAGCAATTTTCCCAATCTTTCACCTGAAAATTGATTTGGCAAAAAGAAAAAAAAAAGGTATAAGTATGCATTTTTTGACGTGTCGATTTGCCTAATTATTAGACCGTCTCACGCAAAGATTTGCGTTTTATGAAAAGTGATGAAGAATATATACTAACCGAATGCGGCAATTGAGAGGTGAAGATATCGACTGTAACGAACTCCATTTGGTGGAGCTGATTCATGAAGATTTATAAGAAGCCAAGTTGTGTAGAGCTGCCATGAAAATGCCAAGGACAAGCAAATAACCCCCCAGTACCTGTATTTACCATTTAAACCAGAAAAATGCAACTTTTAATACTTAATAAAAAATAAATAAATAATTTAATAATGTAAGGACAGCAGAGAAAGTGAAAGTTTATTAATAAAATTTTTTGTTTTATTTTATTATTATTATTTTTTTGTGTACGTATAAACATATGATGGTAACGCCAAATGGTAATGGTCCTAGTGAGTATTTGTAAAAGGGGCTAGTCTAATTTAGTGATTCTCCATTAGCATAAGTTTAGAAAATTACATAAAATCTTAAATTTATCAAGTTTATTGAGTATTTTAAATAAGCTCTGTCTGACTTGCTTAGGGATGTCAATAAAACCCGTAGGATCGGGTTACCCGCGGGTTACTCGCATTTTTGGGTCGGGTAAACCCGAGATGATTAGGTTCCGGGTCGGGTTAGAGTAAAATTATGCTACCCGAACCCCGGGTCGGGTCGGGTGTATTAAGCAAACTCATTACCCGACCCGCTTACCCTACCCGTTTCCCCGCAACCATTGTATCACACACACACACACACACACACATATATATATATATATTTATAACTTATAATAATATAAAAGTAGTTATGTGTTATTTTTAAAAATTAGATTATCAATTATAATTTTGATTAATGGTTAAATTTATTTTATTTTTAATAAGTTTATTATCATTTCTTGTTAATTGTACAATAAAAAAATTAAATACTTAATTGTAAATGTCATAATATTAGATAGACTATAAAAGATAAATAATCATATCTTATTATTTATTCCAAAAATAATATAATTTTTTATAGTTTTTTTATTGTCAAACTTACTTAATAAATTATTTTTTATATTATAATTAATTGTGAAATTATTTTATTTTATTTTTTCATATGAAACGGGATGGGTAGGATAAAACTCAAATTTAAAACTCGGGTTACCCGTTTACCCGACAAAAACCCACCAACCCGTCGGGTAAAATTCAACCCGAACCCGAAGATCACTAGTCGGATAACGGGTCGAGTTTGGGTAGGGTAAATTATATGCGGGTCGGGTTTGCCAAAACTCGTACTCAACCCGACCCATTTACATCCCTAGACTTGCTCGCTGGAACTCAGCATGTTTATCAAACGAACCGGGTCTATTCGAGCTTTAACAATCCGAGTCAAGTTGAACTTACAACAATATTTTTGTAATTTAATTTGTCCATGAGTCTTAATAATTTTATATTAGAAGGTTTGGGGGTTCCACAGTTCTCGACTTTGAAACTGGTATGGACCATTGAAATTGAACTTAAGATCACTGTCCACTAATTAATTATTATAATAATCAGTTGAGATTGAATTCTTGATTTAATAATAATAAGGAAATAAATGCTCGACAAATTATTATTCATGATTAAGTATTTCTTATAACAATATTAATTTAGTTGATCATATAATAAAACCAAAGAGCATACATTAAATTGAATAAATGAATGATTAAATTAATATGGCCCTAATAATCAATTGAATAATAATTAAAATCATACCATCCCAATGAAACGAAAGCCACCGGAAGTAGAAGCGCCTGATATCCGATTCCGGTGCTCAGCAGGTGAAGCGCCGCCGCCAGGCAGCCTCCGTTTCTTGATTCTGTGGTCGGTAGCAACCGGTCGAGCGGGTTGCGCTCGCCGGAAAACTCGTCCTGGTCGTCGGCCTCGGGTGAAGAGATTTCCAGCACATTTATCACGTGATGCACATGGCTTCTGGTCTCCGACGGGATTTCCTCGGCCGTCACCGGCGCTACTCTCGATGAGGACACTGTCCGCTCGAGCCGGATGTCCGTCATCTCCGGCATGGGAAAGGATGGACGACTTTTTTTTCTTCTTCTAATTTTTCTATATTAATTTTTTTTTTTTGGATATCGTTTGTATGTTACTGAGGAATTAGGTATATGAGCAAAATATATAGATATATAGGTGGGCGAGGTTGAATGCGTACTTTTGTGTACGTCATCAACGAAACGCAAGCAATATGATGCAATTATTTTTTTAGCTATATTAATTAATACAGTATATGATAGAAAGTTTTTCATTCAAACACTAATTATCATTTGTAGTAGTGGAGAATAATAAAGCGAGGAATTCAAATTTGAGTGGATGAACCCAATAAGTACGTAGAGATGAATATGATGATGAAATTAATACTCGCTGACTTCCGCAACATGACGTCATATATGTATGCATTAATTTATATTATATTGTAGTGAAATTAACTCTACGTTATTGCTTTCATTCACAAATAATCTATATCTATACTATTATAAAAGTGCCAATGAATCTGTAAAAATATAATATGCCTAAAATACCCTTACTTTATCACTTTTATAATGGCATACCTGTAATTTTAATTTAAACTCATTGTATTAATTATTCTTATTTATTAACTTAATGTTTTGCTGCGATGAGGGGTCTGTGTGTGGCCCTTTGAGGGTACAAACTATCTACAGCGGGATTAGATTTTCAATCTCCTTAACTGTGAATTTAATACATGAAAGTGCAAGTAATCACTTATAATTATTTTGTGAGATCTTTTGATGACT